TGCAGTTTTCATTTGTGTGTGTGTACAAAAACAATTGTTTTTACCATACAGTATATTTTAACCTAGCATTTTAGAAACCTTTGACATCTGATAGATAAAAACCATGTCAGAATGTTACTTTATATTTTCAAATGTTGTGCACTGGAATTTATATTATTTCTCCTTGAATAACTATATTTCTTAAATTTAAAGCTTAAATGAAGCAAAACAAAAGAAAACCTTGAATTTCTTAGTAGTCCTCATGCCCTCCTATAATCCTTAAGTATATGTTAACTAGTTTCAGATGTGTTTTGTTCTCTGACTCAAAATCAGCCCTTTATTTTAAAAAAAGAAATTGTGTAATTAGTACTTAATTGCTTTGGATATTTTGGGCTAAGGAGAGGGTAATTAAAAGGCCAGAGAAATTAAATGTTCACAGTGTTCTTTATGTATATGCAATTCCTTTTTTTAAAATGCCCTCTAAATGCAGTCCTGACAATTTAAAAATAAATGACAAAAGACCTGAGTTTTTAAATTTTTAACATCAATTTTGTCTGTGAGTGTTATTTTGTTGATTTTTTTTTTCTATTCAGCTGAAGAGAAAAAACCCTAGAAATCTAGTTCATCTTCTCTTCAGGCAGGTGTCACCCAAATAATATCTGGAAGATAGTCATCACCTCTCCTGTGATACTAAGATTTTTTTTCTTCACTTCAAAATATTATATATGATAAAATTTAAGTAATTGGCATAACTAAGAATGGAATACGATCTACTGGAACAAATGAGAACTTGGTTGATGTAGTATCTTTCATGAATCTTTAACTATTTGAGAGATGTAGGATGGTGCATCCCTTAACTTCTCTAGATGACTTTATCAAGTATAAATTGGAATGTTAGATTAGTAATCTCTAACACTTTGCAAACTTAAATAACTGCATTTCATGAGGGACACAATGTCATAAAGCTAAGTTTTGTGGATCCAGAGAGACTCAAGTGTGCTTTGAAACAAGATATATTAATTGATAATGAACATTGATAATTAATTGATAATGACACTATAACCATAATATATTTGCTGCTTTTAATACATATGGTGAGCCAAAAGAACCTTCTTCTTTGCCATATTCACTGAATTACATAGGTCTACAGTATTTGGACCTTGATTTTATAATGTTCCCCCACCATGTGTGGAGGTTACCCCAAAAATGCTATTCTAAAACATTACCATTATTCATCTTTCCTCTTTCTAATTATTTGTATTCTTCCATTTTCCTTAATCTTGATCTTTTTTTTTTTCCTTGAGGAAAACAGCAAATTACTTATTTTTCTTGGGAATTTTAAAGAAACATAAAGTACCATCTTGGCTAAAATAAGTGCAAGAATTGTAAGAACTTGGATGAAATATATGATTCTGCAGGAAAATGTAAATTGCATAACTGACTGAAGAAGAGAAAAATACTTCTGAATAGATCACTAAAAGAAAAAATAGGAAAGTAACCACAGAGCTGCCCACACAGCAGTGCCAGGCCCACCTGCCTTTGTTGAGAAATTCTCTCCAAACTTCAATGAATGGATAAATCCTTGAATGATAGAATATTACACATCAAGAAAAAAGTAGAGCTTTCAGTGAGGATTGTGAAAGGGCATGAAGTCCCTTTTCTGTTCAAGAGGAACCTTGGAGCAAATAACTGAGAACAGGGATGAAAGATATTTGTGAAAATTAGCAAGTAAAACCTTGATAGTTGGTGCTAATTTGTTGTCCCTGAGCCATGTTCCTGAGCCCTCCCCATGACGCATGGGGCATTAAATAAAAAAAGAAAATTACTAAGTGTAGGGCTTCCCTGGTGGCGCAAGGGGTTAAGTTGCAGCACTGTAAAGCTAACTGATGCCACTGCAACATGAGTTCAATCCCTAGCCAGGGACTTGACCCACCTGGCACAGCAGACCTCTCCTGACTTGCCCACTGCAGCCCTCGGCAGTGTATTTCAGTCAATTTGTCTGTTCTGCTCTTCACTCTGTCTCTGGTGAATCCTCTCACTCTCCCATACCTCTGGCCAGCACCCCAGCTTTGTATGCATAAATAAGTGCATCTTTTTTTAAAAGAAAAAGAAAATTACTAAATCTCTCTAGGTAGACTTTGTGTTAGACACTGATAGTCATAAAGATGCACTTCTAATTTACTTTATTGCCCATTTTGAGCAGACTGTAAGTAAAGGCCCCTGAAAGTGGAGGGCCCCTGTTTTACACATTGAAAAGTAAACATTTCCTAGCTTCAGAACAGGGGCTTCAGGCTGAAAGTGTGGCAAACAGGCCCAATACAAGACAAAGGAATAAACAGCAAATTAGGCAGTAGGGAACTGTTTTGGGCTGATGACCTAGCCATACCTTCAGATCTTTTCTTTTTATTATTTATTTATTTATGCATACAGAACTGGGATGTAAGCCAGAGGTATGGGGATTTGGAGAGGATTCACCAAAGACAGATTGGGGAGCAGAACAGGCAGAGGTACTGAAATACACTGCTGAGGGGAGCAGCAGGTGGTTCAGAAGAGATCTGCTGTGCCATGTGGGTCACCTTGTGCTACAGTGGCTGTGATAGCTTCATAGTACTGTGCTTTAACCCATTGCACCACCAGGGAGGGCCACCTTCAATTCTTAGAGTGGGAACTCTGACTACCCAAATGGTCAACCATATTTTAAATCTATACCCAATAGTCTGAAAAATGATCTAGTGGTAAGGTGTCTTTCAAGAACTAGAGACCAGGAAATAAGCATAACACAAAGGCCAAGAAATGAGGCCAGATGAATTGGGCTGATTTTAAAAATCCCCCAGAGGTATGGTCAGTGGTAGAAACTTTTCCCAGGCCTAGACCAGGTGAGCAAGACCACCTGCTTATAAACACTACTTCCTGTTCTTGTACTACCATTTCCTCATAACTTAGCCAAAATGTCCCTTCTTCCTTTCTTAGAAAATCTTGAAAGAGGGCTTGTAAGTCAATAAAAGATTCAGATTTAAAGAGAGAAGAAGATGCCCAATACATAGTAACAGAATGTTTCAAATAAATGGGATAGCATCTTAGTATTAAAAAATAGTGTAACATCACTGGTGGTGACACAGATGGCATGAGGCTACCTTTGTGGGTCCAATCACTGTTGATCAGCTTTGTTCTCAGAGATATGAGGGGCAGAAAAAGCCTGGTTGTGCTGTGAGGTTCTCCACAGAAAAGTGGAAGTTTCCGTCTTTGGAGTTTGGAATTGGAGCTTTTTCATTTTTACATTAAGTCATGGAATTAAATTGTAGGTATTGTGCCTGTCATTTTGGTGCAGTGAACAAGACTGCAACATCTGCCTTATACAGGGATTTTTTAGCTGTGCATTTGGATTGTGTGGTGACCTTTGAAATTTTGTTTTTAGCTGCTGTCAGAAACATCATCATTTTTCTTTCCGAAACAGATTTTAACATCTGCAAAGGTTGATCAAACTAGGATAGTTTTAATAAAATATTAATCTCTCTTTTTAATGTCAACCCAACTTTTAAAACTGTTCATCAGCTACCTAAAACATCAGCTCAAGGTACTTGGGTTGATTTTAATGAATGCTTTTTGCATTAAACATTTTCACTGTGACCTGAGTGCATCTAGAGTCTAGAAATTTTTCCTGTCTTGTTGGTCCACAGCCCACTTTCCAAATTCTCTTGTTTTATAACTTTAATTTGTATTTCCTTATCTCAACAGTTAAATTTTGCTATATTCCAAGGAGGAGAGATTATTCTAAATTCAGGTATCCCCAAAATCTGGCTAGTAAAAGGATACTGACTTTTAATGAAATTTAACTTAAATATCTAGCTTACATATGTGTCCTGTCATTAAAAGGTTATTTACCTTTAAAATGCTGACCTTTCAAGATGTACACAAGAGTGTTCTAAAACTGAGTTTCTGAACATTGGCCATGAAACTACTGTCTTGGGCTGACAAATGGATTGGAAATAAGCTACCCAACACTGGGAATGGGCCATTAATTTTAATCAAAGGTGATGCAGGAAGGCGAATGGGATGCATGACAATGTCAACAGCCCAGTAGGTGTTAAGAGACCACACAGCCTTCCTTGTTATTTGGTTGGGCCATTAGTTGAGGTTGGGTGAAGACAGAATGCCATGTCTGGAATTGAATGACCAGGTCACTCCAAAATCTAATGGAGAACTCCTCATTTCAGAAATCACATTGTAATGCCATTAGAAGTCAAGGACAGCATTTAGGAAATATTGGACAGCATGTTTTTTAACCAAGCACCTAGCTAGTTTTTTCCAACTTTGTCAAGCTCTGTTTTCCTGCCACCTTTCCTTCTGAATGGATCATTGATATTTACAGAGGATCAAGAAATCGAACAGACTTGGGGGAAAAAAATCTCAAAGCCTGTTTGCTTTTCAGAATTACATATTGTTAGTTGTAGAACTCTGGTAAATGCCAGAAACAATAGCTTACTGAAAGAATTAAGCAGAGTAATTAATTCTCTGTGGTGATCTCATTGTCTTTGTCTCTTTCTTGTGTTGTTGTGTGTAGGAATAGTTTCACTAATTGAAACTAAACTTTCTTAATTGCTTTAATGAAAGCGTTTGTCCTATAATTCTAAAGGCCAGTGTGCTTATGCCATACTGTAAATTGTCAATATTGGATGATAACATTAGTGATATTCATGGTGGTGAAAGCCTTTCTCTTAGCCAGTAAGTATATTTCCTTATTTTGAGTATTTTCAATTATAAAAAGGTAGCATATGACAGCTTGAATTAATGATGTTTGTAATAAAGACATAAAAATGCAGAAGGGACAAAGAGGCATTTTTATATCTCTGCTTTAGGTTTGTTAAGAAAGTTCATTTATTCTGACACAGCATTGCATACATAAGAAAGATATGTATGACTGCTTTAGTAATTTTTGCACATTTTTAAGAAAGGAAAGCAATTATATTGCTGTCTTGTTAATGGAATACTGTTATAAGTAATAGTATTTGTTCTTCCTATAGATGAAGATCAGCTCCGTGCAAAGGGTTATGACAAAACCCCAGATTTTATTTTACAAGTACCAGTTGGTAAGTCTTTAAATTCTATTGTACATTTGTCTATAAAAAAGGGGGTGTGTTTTTTAAGTATTTTTATTTTGTATTAATATTTAAAAATGTAAACAGAATAGATTATTTTATAATATTGCATCTAGACAGATGAGACAGTTGAAAAAGGTTATTTTAACAGAAAATAATATATTCAGATGAAGTCTATGCCTTAAAAACTTTAACATATATTTGAGAAATAAACTGGTGTACTAAAAGCATTTGGGTTGCCATTTTCAGTCATGTTTAAGTACTAAATTTTTAAACCATGGTTCTTATGAAAAAACAGTCTCTCTTTGGTTTGTTTTCATAGTATTTGTCAACTTGCACGGACAATCTAAGATCAGGAAAGGGATTTTTGATGCTGATAATGAAGCTATAAGGGATGCGAGTATAGCAAAAATGTTTCTTGTAATAAATACATATAATGTTTTATTTTATAATCACATCCATAGATGACAGTAAGGGTTCAGTCTTTGCTCATTAATGTGAAACATAGAGTTCAGAACAGAGCTCAGAATTTTCGGTCTTTCCTTCCCTTTGCTCTATATTAGTAATGCTTTGTCCCTTAGCTGTAGAAGGGCACATAATTCACTGGATTGAAAGCAAAGCCTCATTTGGTGATGAATGTAGCCACCGTGCCTACCTGCATGACCAGTTCTGGAGCTACTGGAATAGGTAAGGTCCCATTATTTTTCTCTTAAGATAAACGATACTCTGCTAAAATCTCATTAGAAAAATATTTTGTTTAGCTGGTAAAAATGCTCATAGCCTTTGTTCTAGTAAATACAGAGACTTGATTAATGTATTCATTTCAGATAATTTAAACTTTTCTGCTTTCATAACGTTGCTTCATTTTTTAAAACTAAAATTCTTGGCATAAGGTCAAAATTAGTATATACTCCCCGTTTCCATTTTCCAGTGATTACACTGATGTGTTAAAACCTGAATACTGAGATGTGGGACACATTATGGTATTGACACAGACTTTTTATCCTTTTGATGTTGAATTTGTACTTGTCAGGCTTTGAAACAAAACAGTTTACCTTCCAACAGTAGAAAACTGTTTACCTACCAACTTCAATCAACAAATTCCAGAAGGCATGGAAATCTCTGTAGTTTTTTAAAAGGTGGTGTTGGAGGAGAGGAAAGAATGCTGTATTATTGAGTACCACTGCCCACCACCTCCCCCCCCATCCTGTGCTTGGGCCTGCAGATGATCTGTGTTGATCTTCACAACGAAGTTACCTTTTCTCTCATTTTACAGATAACTAATTGATACTTAAAGAAAATAACAAGCCTAGCTAGTTGTCAGGGTCTAGTTAGCTCAGGCTTGCAATAGTGACTTGCACTCCCAGCCCATGCTATTTCTAGCTCTATTACCATTTGCAGTACAGCTGTTGTAACATGGACTTTTTCTTATCACACCACTCATTGGTTTCCCCTTAGAACAGGAGGTGGGCCAACTGGTAACCTTCCTAGATTAACTGTGTTCCTCTGTCACTGGCCAGTAGGAACAACAGAGTAAGAAGATGACTTTGGCTCAGATCATTAAGGAAGGAAACAGTAGCATTCACAGACAGTAGTCTTATCCTGGGGGGTGAGGGATGGGGGGGGAATTGTGACAGGCTACTGAATTTGGCATTATATTGTTACTCAGCTGTACAAAAGGCCAGTGGACATCGCCCGTAGCAGCTGTGCTAAACTAAGCCCACTTTTTGCCATGGTAACAATGATCATGACAAAATGCTGAATGTAATGGCTTTCTTGATTTTCTTGTGTAATTGTGCGTAGCATTCGAGCTTTACTTTACAGGGATGGAGGAGGAAAGTGCAAAATGTTTTAGAAATCAATGCTGCTTCAGCGTTTCCTATGTCTTTTATTCAGCCATTATTCAAATTAGCAGTAATGTGGCAAATTGAATTTTAGATTTTTAGCAATTTTATGATGAGTTTGAAATAGTAAAGAAAGCATCATTTTTGATAGTATAGGGAAAGCAGTGACAAGAAAATTGTATAAGTTTAGGTGGCTAAAGGATTTTAAAAACTGATAAACGGAATCATTATGCATTGATACTAACTCTTTCCCCCACCCCCACTTTCCATACTGGTCAAATCTTTTATGAGACACAATTATAAATCGAATGCCAAATAATAGAGCTTACTTCAAAATGCCAAAAATATATCTTTGTTCTAGGATAATGCTCTTTTAGTGCCTACTATGTGGGTAGCATTCACTATTTTAGTGATTTATTAAATGTTCTAGATCTCTGAACTATAGACTGTGGATTATTAACCTGACCTGAGGGGGCTTAATACAATTTCCTCTGGATTGGATTTTAAATTATTTTGATGCATGCTAATTTTTCTATCCTAATCATGTTTCATGTGCACTACTATTGATTTACATTCCCTAAACATGTTCTTTGAATATATAATAAGTGGTCATAATTTATTTTGGCAGTGTTGTAAGATAAGCCTTGATCTGAAACATTCCAGATCATTCATGAGGGAAATAAATACTGCATAAAAGTCACTGGTATTACAAATGTCTACAGAAAGACCAAGAAATACAAGTAGTACATGGGGCCTCCCTGGTGGCCTAGGGCTTAAGTCTCAGCACTATCACTTTTACAGCCTGAGTTTGATCCCCAACTAGGGAGCTGACCCAATTATGCACAGCAGACCTCTCCTGTCCAGCCTGCTGCTCTCCTTAGCAGTGTATTTCAATCGATCCTCCTGTTCTGCTCCCTACTCTGTCCTGGTAAATCCTCTTACTCCCTGCACCTCTGGCCTCTAACCCAGTTCTTCCACACAAAAACAAATTATTTTTGAAAATGGAACATAGAGGCATTTACTTAGGCATAAATTTTTGGTTATAATGATGATGCCAATTTACCATTATAGCATCTTTTGATGGGACAATTTAACCCAGTTGTGCAAATGTGGGATTCTTTTCTTTTAATACTTCCATTCAATACAGCTTACAGAGTAGTTGCTAAAGTTCTTCAGAGTTGGTAGAAATCATCTCTTCCATCTTTTAAAGAGGCTATTGGTTAGCATTTGTGCTAATTGTTTTATTTTTGTGTTCAGCTTCTAGTTGACATAAAAGATGTCACCAAATTATCATATTACTGTAGATTAAACAGTGGATTTCACAGTCAGACTATTCAACTATGACTGTGGTTTCTACAGTAAGACCATCAAATCATAACCATATAAAAAATCCATTTTTTTCCCACACAATAACTACAAAGCCCCTAATTTTTAGTTTAATATTTCTGTAAAAGTTTCCCTTTTATATAAATTGGTATTCTTACTCAACCTTTCAACCACTTTTGATGAAGTTGCTTACACACTCTATAGAAGATGTTTTCTTTCTTTGGTTTCCAAGATGTATGTGTTCATTATTCTGTTTTGTTTTTTCCTGCTGATCCAGCAGTGTACTCGGTTTCCTTTGCTAGCTCTCCTTACTCTACCAGCTCTAGACTGGAGGATCCTGAAACTCAGTTCTTACCTGCTCCCTTTTCTATCTCCATTCACTCCCTGGGTGGTCCCTTGGAGATCTTTATATACCATTTCCATTCTGTATCTCCTAATTTTTACCTTCAATTCTGTATTTACCTGAATACAAATTTGTCTATCCAGTAGTTCTCTCAGTATGTCCTCTTGAATAACATATGGTTATCTCAGACTTACCGTGTTCAAAATTAAACTCATGATTTTTTTGCTTCCTAAGCTTGTTATTCCTCCATTTCTACCATGTTCAATTAATGGTACCAGTTTGTCCAGATACTCAAGCCAAAATCCTAAGAATCATCACTGACCATAAGCAAGCTCTTTCAACTCTGTCTTCACCAAGTCTCAATGCCTGTCACATATCACCATATTGCCCGAATGGCTGTAATCATTTCTGATTATGTTTGGAAATATATAAATGACAACTTGCCTGTTTGAATGCAAGCCTTTAAAAGAGTTTAACATGTGATATTGCTATTTCGAATTCAATACATGGTGTGTCCCTCATTCCTTTGTAATCAAAATCTTTGGAATTTTCTCTATTTTAACTCTAATAAAAGTAAAAAAAAAAATCAATGCAGTCACCTTTCCTAAAGTCAAAGGTACTGAGCACACAGCATAAGCTGTCTTTCCTGCAAGTAGTGTCCCAAGTCAAGTATGAACCAACTCAGGTATAACTCTTCAAAAGTCTATCTCTACCTCTGTGGAGTTAAAGGAAATAAAGAATACATCTAAGAGGCATCATTTGAACTACACTATAGTCCTAAGTTATATAAGGCTTTCCAATTGTACAGAAAAAAAAATATATATATGTGTGTGTGTGTGTGTGTGTGTGTGTGTGTGTGTGTGTGTGTATTTTTACTCCACAACATAGGATTTTATATGCAAATTGCATAAAAACTAATTTCCTATGCAATCAATTTTTTAAAGCCTCTCATTCTACTTCTCTAGTCAAAAAGTGAATTCTTTGACAATTTGCCTTCAGTGCTAAATATATTTCATGTTTTCTGGTGATAAAGAAAAAGACCAATTCTACAATCCAGCCAAATTACATGCTGGGACCCAACTTGTGAGATTTTTTTTTAAAGAAACCAAAACAGATACCCAGTGCTCACTTTTCATGGTTGGGGATAGCATAGATCAACTTGAATGAAACTATTGAATGACCCATTTGCAGCTATACAGCACATTGCATTCCCCAACAACTACTGACAAAGAGCATGGGAACCCTCAGCTGCACTTTCATTCCTGCCATCTGCAATTCTGGGCCCATTTTGGCATATTGTCATCAGTAGATTTTAATTAAAACCAAAGTGCTCTTTGTATTTGTACTGCTCTATTTCAGAGAAGATCAGAATTTACTGAAAGGAAAGAATAAGGTAAAATTGTGTTTGAAGACGACTTTCCAGTTTGGTCACCTTAGAAATAATGGGAGGAATGTGTCCTGTTCTGGGTGTGAATTCAGACAATGCCACCTTCTTATCCCATGATTAGGAACTACTTATGTAAACTTCATGAACCTTTATTTTTTCTTCAATAAAGTGGAGCTAATCCTACTTTCTTGATGCTATTGCTGTGAAGATCCATTATTCAATAAATGTAAAGTACTCTCGCCATGTCCAGCTGTCAACAAATATTAGTTACCCATAGGCAGCTTGTAGCAGGTAAGGATGGGTGATCCAGTTGCAGAGCCCACCTCCCTTTACTTTCCCTCTCCATTTGACACCTGAAAAGAAGTCAAACTTACCTCAACCTTGAGTTCTTGTACATTCCAAAAGCCACTGCCTGTGCCATCTCTCAGTCTAGATACAGGAGCACAATCTGGTAGTCTGCCCTCTTACCAAACAGATGAACCTGAGAGAGCTGTATGGGCTTTCAGAGAGGTATAAGGGTCTTTGATGAGGAAATTCTGAGATCCTGGTACATGGAATGTGGCTTAGCTATTCCCTTGACTCACTTACTCCTGTACTGCATGAGTCAGGGTATAACAAGCAGTGGGTAGAAAAGAATCCTATAGCATTTTGTTCTAGGACATCAACTCCCCTTGGCTGTTCTAAAGGACAGTATTAAAAGAAGCAAATACATATACTCTCCCAAAGTCAACTTTTGTGCTCATGTTAGAATATAAGAGGAGATTGAGCTCCAGAGGAAATACAGTCT